TATATATATATATATATGTATATATATATATATATATATATATATACACGACTATATACTGTACTACCATAGGGGAAAACGTTAACTCTCTAAGCCTTGTATATATATATATATACACATATATACATTTATTTATAGTTACATTTGTCTCTGTTATTGAAACTTAAGGGTCTGTTAACAATATTTATAGTTCATCAAATTTACAATATAAGGTGCTTCTTTCCCTTATATATAAACATAGAAACAACGGGAAATACACATTGCATTGTGCATATTGAATTTGCTTATTGATACTAGAAAAGAACACAGTAGTTAAACACATTAGCAATAAGAAAAGGAGCATACTTTGGAATTGAAGACACTTCCAATATGGTCTCTGGCACTGCAGTGCGTCCCAAATGGAAGTGATGGCGTCCTGGTTCGGACGACCAGCATTCAGTATTGGACAAGGATCTCCTAATAGCGTCTGCGTACACCTTGCCATTGAATTGGAAATTGAAGTTAAATTGTAACCACCCTGAGGAATTAAATATCAAAGAAAAACTTATCATTTGAACGTTCAAGTAATTGGAGGTTTTTATAGAAAGAAATGTTCTTTTTCAGATTGTGTATTTCATATTTAAACAATACATTAAATTTAAATATAAATATAATAACATTAATGAATAAATAACAATAACTAAAACATGTACACAGTATCATTTTCCAATCTTATAATTAATTTTATAAAACCGAAGTTAGTTAGTATAGGCTACTATGGCTAACGACAGGTACGCTTTCTCCAATATAAAGGCTTTTTCCATGAATGGAATGACCTGTACGAAACCCAAACCCATGTAGACCATACCAGTGTGTAGCTTGTATACAGTACTTACCTCTAACACTATTATAACACGTCCATTAGCTAAGCTGCTTAACATATGGGTAAAGTGAGCATAACCCTCAGGGGTAATTGAATATCCGCCCTGAGATAAAAAAAAAGAATAAGAAAAAAAAAGAGTTTATTAAAGTCAAAATCCTTTGAAATAAGGGAAAATTCTAAAATAATAAACACTTCATTCATTGCTTTGACCGTGATGAGACTAAGCACCTTCCTCTATCTTTAGGACATATCCTACTAAGGGAACATATTATTTTCTCAACCTAGTAGTGAGGGAATATTTAGCCTTTAAATTTAAACATGAACAAACTAATATATTAGTTCACACTTATTATATATATTAAATAATATTCAGGTATACACACTTCAAAGGGAACAAATTTGTTGGTTTTGGGGATGTTTTCCTCTTTTACAACAACAACATAGTTCTTTGGTCTCCCTTTGCAAGGGATGGGCCTCTTGAAAACTTGAAAATAATGCCAACAATAGTGAGCCTGCAGGCAGTTAAATTAATAGCTTTAGCAGTGCCTACACCCGATGGCATTTAGGACAAAATAGAGAGTTCCACTTCGCGTCAATCTAGTGGTGGATTCAAATTGTTCAAAATGTGTTTAAATGTAGAGGAAAAACATTATTATGTAATAATTGTATAATTTCTTATTATGAAAATGCCATTTCTGGCATTGTCGTGGGGTTCAAGTGGTGTGGACCTTCCATCTGTAAAATTTATTTTCTGGGCCTCACTACTTTAAATTTCCATGTTTGGATGAATAAAATTTTACCTTAATGCAAGACATTATACATATATTAATTATAAGATAATTAATATTAGAGATAATAAATATTAGACATAATAAATATGCAAGCTATAATAAGATTGAGGACACTTCAATAAAAAGTAATTTAAACTATTGTAACATCTTTTTGCTTCACTACTCACTAGTGGGTCTCCCAATGCAGCATCAAATCCAGCAGATACCAAGACCAGATCAGGAGCATACTGAAATAAAAAATACACAAAATTTATTATTTTCCTCAGCAGGAAATTAGGCTTTACTTCTGTAAATTATTATTATTTTTTAAAAATTAAATATAATTTATTGTCAATCACAGTTAGAATCCATTTAATTAATCACATAAAGTAATAAGAAAGGTAAATTAATTAAATTGTAATAAATGGATAAGGTACTCGGAAAACACAAAATTTAGACACAAAAGAAAGAGCATTGCTAACTAGGACAAGTTAGTCACTGAATACAAACGGCCAATGCAACACTAATATTATCTAAATTACTTGATAGATTTGTATAGTGGACATTATCTTTGAGCTTGTGTTTTCCTGACCATTGGGCATAGAATAAATGACACAAATCAACGTGCAACATTATCTGCTCCCTGGGGCATTTTGGTATTATTCCACTAACTTGACAACACCAGGCCATATTTATTCTAAATCATTAACATGATACCTGTACCCATTAATACCCTGAGTGCAGAGAAACAGATAAAGTTATCTGCCAAAGGCGACAAGCGATGCAAAATATCAGCCTGGAAATCATACTGGCATTCTAGACCATATACTTCATTTTTAAAATCAGGGGGCCAAAGTCTCCAGAGAGTTCACGGAATTCTCACATAAAATTTGGGAGCCGCTCGCTTTGCGCGACAACGCAGCACTAGAACGAAATCACTTACGCACGACCGCCCTACTGGGGATTACGTTTTCTGCATTCATAGATTTTGCCAAATTGACATTTAATTGTTAAATATATTTGAAAATATTTATCGCTGATAATACTCTCCTTGCAAGAGTTATCATTCATATGGAAAGATAGTATTACATTTCAGATTCAAAGAAGAATTCCTTCATCTTCTCGGAAATGATTATTGCACTTTTGATAACAACATAATACATAGCAGTCAGATAGTAACCTTCCAGCTAACAACAGTCAATAGTATCAGTCATTAAAATATTATACAGTTACTCAATTCTGAAAAACTTTGTATCCTAAAGGCTCACATAATAATAGATGGATTACAAATGAACTTTGTACACATACGCATATTTTCATGAAATGAGAAATAACAAAGTCTTGAGTATTTCCATTCATATGATGAAATATTTACTAAAACTATTTTTAGATCAGGTTACAACCAGTATATGCATAGGCCTGGTTACAATAATATACATATGCCCACTCTCTGATGGTAGATAAAATGAAGCGACATAATTCTTTAATAACAATCATAATTGTAGCTTTCAGATTTCAAAGAATATTTTTGTTTAAAAAAATCACCTCGTCATTCGGAAGAATAACAAAAAGCTGTAAAGACCATTTAAAACAACTAAAAATAAAATGTAAATGTTAGCTTGGCACAACAATCAGACAATAGACTGTTTCCAGTCTGTGGAGGCATGAGGAGGACACATGCTCTTTAGCATGGAGCATGCTAACAGCAACTAACAACAAAATAACATGAATTATAGTGCAAACACTCTACCCTACCTCAGCTATGTGCCTGAATAATGACTTGTGCATACACATGGGCAAGATGTACGATCCCATTATTTTCTTTATGAGTAAATTTAAAATTTCAGTGACCTCAGTCTTGTCTTTTAACCTTTCACCCAAAAAATCACCATATCACCTAGATCAATAATATGTAACATTCCACTAAACTTTATGATCTATTCAATAGTTTTTTTTTTCAAAATCATGATACCAAAGGGACAAACAGATAGAACAACAAACAGAAATGAAGTCATAACCTTTGGCAGAAGAAACTGTATTCAATCCATGGAGTGCATACCTCCACCCAGAGCCCAAATACCAGACAATACAAAGGTTTTTTATGATGGGAAATTCCATTATTTTCTTTTACGTTCGTGGGTAAAAAATCAAATTTCCATGACTCTGACAGTGTCTTTTCAATATTTTTTCAAAAAATCATCTCTTTCTTGTATTGTTATGTACCATTACACTAAAGTTATGATGATACATTCCTTAGTGTTTGCGTATCTAACACGGACATACAGACAGACAGCGGACGTGGATACATAACCTCTTTGGTGGAGGCGACAACTTACCTCATAGGCTACTGGCATGATGATTTGTTGGAAAGCTGCTAAGTATTCAGCATCTCCCATTTTAGACTGCAAGATATAACATTTGATTATTGTGCATTCTTTGATATTGCTGGAAATTTGCTAACAAAGGGATCAGCAAGTCCAATGGATAGTCCAAACCAAGGGGCTGCCTATAAGTCCTGGTCTGGTTTCTAGAGTAAAGCCATAACAGGGGAGAAACTTTGTGGTTTTAGGATGGTTTGGCAAAAATGTGCTTTATTAGTCAGATCACAATATAAGGAATGCAATGTTTATTTCAGTAAATTAATAATTTAGAGTGACAACCTCAGGTCAGACATTAGGGGGCGTCCATGCTTATTCAATAGGCAAGGGGGAGTTGAGGGGAAGGGGTCCCCTTGACCACCTGATGGCATTGTCACTGAGTGTGTGCATATTGCCAAATTTCGGTTTTGTATATTATGGACTTTAAACTTATGATGCTCTTAAACTGTAACCCAGTAGATTAAAAATAAATTGAAATATCCTTAAAATCACTTATATGTAATTTTTTTTTAATCAAATTTAAGCAAATTATAAAAAAAATCTAAGGCCCCAAATAAGAGGAATAGGGTGCCAACAGGAAGATCATCCACACCACCTCAAACCCACCATTGTTTAAGCAAATTTTAAGAACATACACCTCTACATACTCAGAAATGCACTGACAGACTAAAAACGCCTTGTCACTGTTTCCAGAAAAATGTGGCTTCTTCTAAATAGGGTTCCTGTACTAATTCACTTGGTCCACTCACTGGCACTGCCATTTTTACTATATTTTGCTTTGATGCCAGATGTAAAAATGAGTACAGTTCATGAGTATATTTAATATTTAATGTTACCACACATGAACTTATATAATATTTATGCTTATGGTATGACATCCATATTTTCTATTAGCCCATTTTTTAAGGTTTTGTTAGAAACATCGTTAATGAAGCAACGTCTATTAAGTGTATTAAATAAATAATTAGAAAATCAATGAACTGGCATACTATAAATATTGATGATAGATTTTAATAATTTACATATTCTACTTAAATATTTCAGTATTAATAGGAATCACTGAATGATATAGTCTGGATGTTTTTGGCAAACTATTTGCTAAATAAGAAAAAAAAAAAAATTTTTATTTTTTTCTGCCCTCCACTGATGTTCTTTCAAAAAAAAAAAAAAAAAAGGTTTGCGAAACAAGGCATAAAAAAGTCTTGCCATTGATTACAACATTGATCTCAGATGGTTCATTTTTCCTTAATGTCATATGGGTTCTATCTATAGTCCACTTTAGACTTCTGCCGCTATAGGCTAATACATATTAAAATCCTAATGTCATAAAAACCTAACATATTATAGGCTATAGTATTGTGTGAATGGTGCTAATGATATTGAAGGTTAATTAATCGAACTTACCCAATTCCATGGAATATTAATGTTGAATCCTGCCCCTTTCTCTAAGCCAACTTTATTAGCATCCCCTCGGCTCGATCCAGGGAAAAAAAATCCCTTATCGTAACGATGCAGGGAAACATACAGAATACTAGGATCCTTCACAAACATGTTTTGTGTTCCATTGCCATGGTGAATATCCCAATCAATAATTAAAACACTGCTCCCAGCCAATAAAAAAAAAAAATAAATATATATATATATAAAAATTCACAAGAGTGGGTAATTTTTTAAATTCATTTTAATCATAATATTTACTATTTTTATAATTATGCCAATAATAGTAATCATTATAATGTTTATACATAATCTGTAAACTATTATTTTTTGAAGATTATTTTCGGACAATAAAATTATCTTGTATCTTGTATTTTATTTGAATTTATTCAGAAAAAATCACCTAAACTACTACAAAATGAAGTGAGAAAAAAAAACAAATTTATATGCAATTTAAATGATATTCAAGCAGATTTTCATGTTGTGACAAAATAAGTCCTGTTGTATGCTAGGTCAATTTTAGATTCAAGGATATATGAAGTGATATAACTATCCTAGGGACCTGATTCAAAGACCAAAATAAAGCTTATATTTAAGCCATCTATCTAAATATATCAATAACTCATTTTTTTAATTTTTTGAACAACAATGAGTCATTTTGTCACGACAGCTCACTTATTTTCAATGGGCTCTGATGGGATAAACATACCGTTTTGCAGCATAAAATTGTTGGGCATATTTTGCCGCGATAGCAACAGTGTTGAAGAAACAAAAACCACATGCGTCGTCCACTTCAGCGTGATGACCAGGTGGCCTACAACACGATAAAATTAGACAAAAGATTTAGGTTAAAATTCAAAACAGTAGCTCAGCTAGGGCTGGGGTCTATGACTTTCTACAAATATATTACATATTCTTGTGAAACTTTGTGCTTCTGTTTGCATTTGCTAATTATATCACAATCCAATCATAAAGATCACAAAAAAAAAAAAAAAAATGTGTAATCTCACTAAAATGGTGGACTGCAATCACTGGTCACTCTAGATATTTGCCGATAAGCAGTCCAAATTTCGACAGAAGGGTCTGGAGTAGGAATAGGCCAGAGCATTTGGTGTGGTTCCTGGAATAAAATCTCTAGTAGGGCTCTTAAGGAAAATTGTACTTTTCAACCACAAAATTAGGGATTGACATTCAGTGCAATAAGGTTGTACAGTGTACTTTGGATCAGCAAGTAAATATTTTTCATCAGCCAAACCTCAACGTAGCATCCGTGGCTTGTCCGATGGATAGGGTGGAGGGGATTTCCCCCCTGAAGTTGCCACTGACTGCAATTAATCACAAGTCTGTGTAAATAGTTTTGGGAATTTTAAGTCAAGATTCAATATGAATTTATTGCAAACAAATGGAACAACAGACACATAAAAACATCAACAGTAAAACATTAAAATCTATGAATTTTGTATTCATAATAACAACCAAAAATTGTAGAAGGAATTATGGTAGGCATGCTTTAACCCCAGATATGAAATTTGTCAAAAAAAAACAAAAAAAAAAACTAAAACGATCAGGCACTCAAAGAATAGTAGAATAGGTGCAAGAACATTTTCTCCCAAGCTCATATGCTTGATTAGTACTAAATAAATATATCCTTGGTTACAGTATAGTAACATAACTTATTCATTCTACCAACTATGGTACAATGTGGAAACCAAGAAGGCAATGCCTATAAGCAGGTCCGGTAGCTAACTTATAAATCAATGCCTTAAATAAACATCAAACAGATACAGATTGATATGTACATGGTCCTTAACTCGCCTAACTCTCTTGGGAGGGTTATTCGAGGAGCTGAGCGTTTTTTTGTTCTTATAAAAGACCTGAATTCAATACTCGCCACAGAGCCGGGTATCGAACCCGGGCCCTGGCATGCAGGAGGCAGGAAACATACCAATTAGCCAAACGCTCAGCTCAATAGTCACTTCTCATGCTCAAAAAATATTCCATTAAATATTGCATAATTATATGAGGCTTAATTGTCATCATAAAAACCAGCATACAGTTGCTGAATGTTAAAATGATTAATTAGCATAAGAATGTATGTATTGTATACTTTAGTACATAAAAGTCGTTAAATACTTTTACTCAAACTACGGCAATAGTCGACTCCAGTATTAATGACCTACTGTATCATATCAAAGCTTATAAGGTGGAGAACATGAGAATACATTAAATTATGTATTGACCTAGGCTACTACGGCTAATGACAGGTACGCTTTCACCATTAAAGCCTTTTTCTATGAATGGAATGACCTGTACGAAACACAAGCTCCTGTAGACTAAACCCAGTACCGTTATGATTTTATTCGTACAGGAAATATCCTCAAGATGTTTTAGGACTGGTCTAGGCTAGACCTCGGCTACATTAAATTTATATATTAATATGATAACGTTAACGAATAAATAACAATAACTTAACCGTGTACATAGTGTATCACTACTGTAATAATAAGATTAACATTTTCAATCTTATAATAAATTTTATACAGCCGGTGTTATGTATTGACCTAGGCTACTATGGCTAATGACATGTACGCTTTCACCATTAAACGCTTTTTCTATGAATGGAATGACCTGTACGAAACACAAGCTCCTGTAGACCAAACCCAGTAACGTTACGATTTTAAATGTACGGGAAATATCCTCAAGATGCATTAAATTAAATTTTATTGTTTCTGTCACTGAAGCTGGTTTCTGGATGACTTAAGCCCCATATGGGCCTCCATCTTCTTACCTTACTATTGCAGTTCCATTGACACACTAAGAAAAGAAGCACATATGGAAAATATGAAATATGGAAACATTATCATGTTTTCTATAAGTTTATATATCCAAATTTAAAGGTTCAGTATAATTTCAAGCATCTAAAATAAAGTACTGTAAATACTGAATCTTAAAAAAATATTCTTTGAAACATCTGTATTTTTACAGATGTAAAAAGTAGAAACAGTTCAAATTAATAATTTCTTTGAAAGTGAAAAACTCCAACAGAAATCTGAATACACATTCGCATGAACATACACTTTCGATTCATTCATGTGTAAAATTCGCCTAGTGGAAAAGGGGCCTTACTCTTGCCTTCTAAGCTCTATAAAGGCCAATTCAGACAGCGTCTACGATGCTACAGCCTGTGTCTGCATGCATTTAACTTACACAGACCCAACGTGAAAACAAATCGCTTTGGGCTGCGTCGTACGACACTTTTTGAATTGGCCTTTATGCGTTAGAATCAAGTCACTTTTTGTTTGCATCCCAAAAGGAAAAACATGCTGTTACCATTACATTTACCACAATACCCATTTCAGCAATAGCTGTGACAGGTTGAGGAATCACACTTTGCACTGACCTTAACTAACAATCAAACTCAATATCAAAAGAGAGAGTGAATTGGCAATTAGTTTTCCAGCAAGTTGTCAATAAATCACATAAGCCCCATTCATATCCAACTATGGCGAGATAATTTTAGTGGATGAGCTAGAAGATCTCGCCATAAGTTTGAGTATGACCGCTCAAGTATGGCGAGATGAAGGCCACAACTCGACTAAGCCCGTCGAGTAAATTTATGTCGACTAACTTCTTAATCCAGTCTAAAGCCAGTAAACAGCGGGTGGCCACATGTCACGAATACACCAATCAAATTGAAGCAAAATGACCTTCCACGCTTGCTGGTTAGCGCGTTTTTTAGTTACTATCATAAACACCATTCAGAATTGACGCAGTCTCCCTGATCTGTGTACTTTAATTTCAACAAGTTTTATTTTGCAAATGATGGCCGAAAAGTCAGTAAAGAAATGCCATCTGTGGACGTATGCGCAGGAAGGTGATTTAATAGATATCTGGAGGGAGCCAGGAATCGCCGAAAAAGTTGAAGTTTAATTGTACCGTCAGAAGGCTGGTGTCCACCAAAGGATTACAGAGAGAATGCAGGACTTAGGCCACAATAGCATAACATCGGCAATTGTTGTGACAAAATTGAAAAATCTAAGAGCGTATACCACAAGGCTGTGAGAGACGTTATTATTCGTGGGACGGGCAAGGGGTCGGCCAATGTAATAAGGGATGACCCGAAATCGGCATGCCCACACTACCACGCGCTAAACGAAATACTTGGGGAAAACCCAGTGTAAGCCCTCCAGCTGGACTCCTCGGCCAGTCTAATCAACTGCCGAGACCTAGGCCTAGCTTACTCCTATAGTCTCAATCTAGCATAAACTAGTTGCGCGAAAATCAACAGTAATTACACACCATGCGATTGTACTTCCTGTCTAATGATGTGTTTTCCGAATTTCTGGTAGTCAAAATATCTCGCTCTAACCTTAACGTCGAACGCGATTCGTGGATTTAATCCAATTAACTTGGCAAGCAGATCAGCTACTTCATCTGGCTATAATCCCATATGAACCTAGCTATAGGCTTACCTATGGTATGGTATAGTATAGCTGACCTTGCATGGGCAATAAATTACAAAAGCTATGATTATAATGATATCCAATTAAAGAGCAATTACCAGAGAAAGGCCTAATGTCCCAAATGATGGTTGGAAATCAGGAAAATTTTTTTTTAAAGGGTAGAAATACCTCTCAAAATCAAAATGTGACTTGGACCACATAGAACTGGATTTTTATGTTTGTGTTTAGAAAGGGATTTGTTGCCACCTACTTAATATCTTTGGATTTTCTGCCTAAATTATTAAAACAAAATAAATATAAAAAATATATTTTAAATAAAAACAACTTAAATTAAGAGTTTTGTGCCTAAATTATTAAAATAAAATAAATATAAAATGTAATTTTCAAATAAAAACAAATTAAATTAAGAGTTTTGTGCCTAAATTATTAAAATAAAATAAATATAAAATATAATTTTCAAATAAAAACAAATTAAATTAAGAGTTTTGTGCCTAAATTATTAAAGTAAAATAAATATAAAACATAATTTTCAAATAAAAAGTTTTCAATACCTTGCCACCTAGTACATTATCAACAACACTGAGAACACAGCCAACAGCCAAGCAGGCACTGTCGTATGTCTCCTATAAAAAAGAGTCAGAGAATCAGTATGAAGTTTTGTCTTTTTTTTTTTTATTTGCACCCATCATGTATTTCAGTAATGTACAATTAAAGTAAACTTACATAAGTACGTACATATGAAATTATATAAAAAGCATGATAAAAGCCAATGTGCCTAAAATATAAAGTTTTGTAAGCCATGCAAGCATTGATCTACAGAGTTTAAAAATCATTGTTGATTTAAAATCAAATCCCAAAGGAAGGGTAATACCTCCCCCACCCCACCCACCACCAAATCACCATTGGACAGGTCAAGCATTCTGTAGGCCACAACCCTGGACTTTCCTCTACATTTTATTAGCATACATTTTAAAACTGGCACAAAATTAGTGCTTTTTTCGATGCCAGGATAATTAGTATCGGCTAAAACCTGTCAGACCCCCATTCCGCTTGGAGAGCTTAACCCCACTCCCACCACCCTGAATTATATCTTTGGGACACCACAGTAATTACAATACCTGGTGAAGATATATTGAGTTGTAGTCCTCTTGCAGTTTTGATAATTCCCGAAAAGATGTTGTCTTCGTCTTCTCTATAGACAGTATGTAATCAAGGCTAAAAAAAAAAGACAATTTGAAGTCACTTTTAATACACTTTTGTAAAAACTTTGTCAATTTTTTTTTTTGTAAAAAAGTGACTACAGGAGCACATAAAAGCAAAAACATGTATAATAACAATAGGAAAGCAACAATAACAATGATAACAACAGCCGTAATAAAAAAAAAATTAACAATAACACCATTATCAGTCCATAATAAGAATATACAACAGAAAGGAATATAGCATCTATTACACAACCAGATGCAAGACGTTCAATATAAATAATGTTTTGTAGTGATGCATATTAGGTGAAATCTGCAAGCCAGTTCTGTAGTTAAGTTTTAGAAAGTGAAATGTCCAGTCAAAAAAATTACTTACTTATGACAGAGTTCGATTTCTTTATGTATTGCATACCTTGACTGTAATATTAAAGAGAAATAGATTGATATGAAAAAAAAAACCGAAAAATGAGAACACATGATATATTTTTGATGTTCAGACAGACAGACACCATCAATATAATGCACTCCCAACCTCTTTGCGGTTGCAGGACGTAGCATACAATTTTCTCATGTGGTGCCACAAGCAAATAATCATGCTATGGGCCATATGTGTTTCAGGGATAATTACTGTTCTTGCCGAAGTGCTACCTGTGAGCGATCCCTCCTGCCTACAGCACATATTCAGTATTTACGGCCGACAACACTTTGACCTCTATATGACAGGCTTGACTCTCCCAGCGTTTTCGTCCGATTTCCAAGTGCCCAATGCTTGGACCACGATAAAAGGCCAAAAAAAAATTGTTTGTTTGCCATCCTCCACCCGCCCCTAACTCACAGGGGCGGAAAAACAAAAAACTTAACATGTAGTTTTTTTTTTTTAGCTTTTTTCTTAAAAACGTTTAAATACGGTGAGTGAATTTACCTTTATTTTTTGCCAGATGCCCTACAATTAGTCTAAGTTTTATGATAAAAGATATTACAATTCTAGACCTCTGTGGGTTATTTTTATTCCATCTGATGAGTATCTTAAGAAAAAAAAAAACATTCCCACAAGCCCATTTTTATCATTTAAAAAAGCAGGGCAAACAAACACATTTTTTAGGCCTAACCATAGAACCCATGGGGTGGGTTTGGGTCCTACGTCTTCCCACTACTCTGCTACTTCGGGTGGTGGTTTACATCAAGCATCACATGTGCTGCAAGGTCCTCCTTGTAGCTCCTGTTGTGCCCGTTATTGCTGTTTTTTAGCATAATTTTGTTTCTTTTATGTTAATAAAAATAAGTCGAAAAAACAGTTTCAACAATTTGGAGCTGTCTGACAAACCAGAATTAATTCGCATAATAAACAATTAATAATTCATTTAATTCGGAATTACACCAAGCAACTGATAGCAAAGCAAATATTTACCGGCAGACGTCGGCATCTGTCAACCAGACCGAGCTCGTGATGTTTTTCAAATATCCGTGAGATTCTTTCAGGGCATTCTGGATGGCAACTAAAAACAACAAAAGACCAATAAATTATTAAAATCCAATATATGACAAAGTTTTATTATGCACACTATAAATTATTAAACAAGAAGAGTGTCACTTGGAGATTACGACTGAAGCCTAATTGAGTATGTAGTTATAGGAATATACATCTAATTTGCATTTTACTTATTTCGTCACTTGATATAAAATATAATATTCAAAAAGCTATCACAAAGCAAGGCAATTAAATTTTTTTTCAGGAGGTACGTGGACCGGATTACCAATATAGCAAAATTATTTATTTTATATGTGGCTCTCCTACCACCATCCAACAAAATAAAATGCCAATAATTATGTGTACATGAAATTTATATAATATATTTCTATAAAATATTTTTTAAACTATAACAAAAAGATACATTTTTTTTATTTATTCAACTGAACATACACTTTTGCTTCAGTGGCACACAACAATTTGGTGCATTCAATGAGATAAATTATTCAGGTATAAAATGCATTAAAATCCATATATCCAGGTGGTGCAAGATATTATGGTAAGATTGTGGTGATGATGATGATGATGATGATGATGATGATGATGATGATTATGATTATGATAATGATGACGATGAATGGGTACACTCTATACGTCATTTTATTAATACTCTCTGTGAAGAAAGCAAGAAAATTTGCTGGCAACTCACAAGGCTGACTTATGCAACTTCATTTTCTCATCATACACCAAACAAGTTCTGAAAATATTCACAAAAAAAAAATTTGACAGTTGCTTCACCGTGACAGACAGGTGTCACTATAGCAACTGCTTATTGTTCTAGTATATTATTGATTTAATTTATCTGGCAATTTTTGTTTATTTATTTGGATGCTTTTAATTTTTTTGTAGCAGACTGTATCTTACAATGATAATAAACAAAAACATAACATGATGTTCATAAATTCGTAAAGAATCATAAACACTTTTGTTAAAACTTACAAAAACGTACAAATTTAGTAAGGTAAAGTAATAATACATAAACACAACACAAGGGTACATTACTTAGATTATTAGATAATTCATAACTTAATCTACACAAAATTGAAGGATAAATGACTAGCTTCAGGCTATAAACTAAACAGTTAATATCATTAATTTCTTTCTTCATTTGATAACCTGTTAAAGAAATCTACTGTTCTTAAACAGGGCACATTGGGGCTTTAGTCTTAT